GGAAAAGGATGAAAGCCTCCTACAACTATAACTGAGAGTTTAGGAGAGAGAAATGAGAGTCCTTTGGAGAGTTTAGGAGAGAGAAATGAGAGTCCCTTTGGATAGGGGTTGGTTGGAGAGAAATTTTCATGTGTTTGAGCTCTCTAAGGTCCCGTTTGGTAGGGCTTCACTTTACTAGTGAATCTATTTTTTTGGCTTCAGCTCCACGAACAGTTCCACCGATGGAGCTGAAGCGGTTTTGGTAAACCGTTTGGTAAAATGGCTTCCCTGTGAGAGCATGTTTTTAGGGCCCTGGAGGAGGAGCCGGGAGAAGCCATTTTTTGGCTCCATCCCATCCAAAATCATTGTGAGAGCATGTTTTAGGGGCTTTCACCAGTGAAGCTATTTTACTTTACCCTGTTTGGCAGAAAATGGCTCCAAACGGACTCCTGAAGCTGGTGGAGAAGCCCTGCCAAACGGGGCCTAAATGAAATGAGCCTCTGGTAGGGTATTTGGATGGAGTTGCTCCTATGACTATATTATTTATGGTGGCTTGTTATGGATATGAACGGAACACATCAATGGACACGCCTATTTTATATTTGCTCATGGTCACTATGATATTAAAAATATTACTATATATTTTTTTCTAATACTTATCTATTTATTAGATATTTTTAGCATACAAGAATACCTAGACATATAGTATCCAGAAACATGACAAACATGTCTCATGTATGCTCATTATTTATCTAGAAAGTTCTACAAATATGCATAGCTATCTTTAGCACTAACATTTAATGTATACTTAGTTACTATCTTTAAATGTTTTATGCTTTGGTAGCCTCCTACCCTAGTGAGAAGTTGCACTCTTCTTTTATCTTGTATATTTTGTGTGTGAATATCACTCCTTTGGATACAAATGATGCTCCTCAAATTTGTTAACAAAAAGATGACATGGCACACTTAACACGTAGATCCATTTGTCAGCCTATAGTCTCTCTATTTTTCTTCTGTCTCTTTAGTCGGTTCTTCCTACTCCCAATCCATCCGTAGAGCGCAGCGGCCGCCTCCTCTCCCCTCACGTCCGGGCTCGCCCCAATGTTCCATAAGGTGTTCGTCTATAAACATGCTTATGCTAGGCAGACGGTACCGCCTTGCTTGAGAGGGTAGACGGAGAATAAGCGACATGCCCAACATCTAGGGCCACACTGCCTAAGGGAGGGACAACATGTGATGACAGAGGTGGCAAGCGCGCGTGCAGAAAGTTTACGGGGCAGGTGCAACCAAGAGGAAGGCGCGCTATGGGTGCAATTGGAGGCAACAAGCGGATGGTGAGAGGAGGACGGACAGAGACGATGGGTGCGACATAGGTGACACCCGTTGTCTGAAGGAGATAGAGGCTGTGCTGGCGGGTAAGAAGCATAGACAAGATGATGCATGTACGGACGCAGGTAGAAGAGTTGGAGGTGGATGGAGGTTAGATGGAGTGTTGACTTAGATCAGGAAGGATAACATGCAATAGGTAAGGTGGACGGGTCTTCTTTTAGCATTGATTATTATTTTTATTTATTTTAAGAAAGTAATTAATCTACGTAGATGTATAGGATACTAGATATGTATAGGATCCTATGATGCACGAATATGTATAGGATACTAGATATGTATAGATCCTATGATGCGCGAATAGTTCAGGGGGTGTTCGTATCGCGTATCCGACACGTATTGGATACCGATACAGCTTGGATACGCCCCGGAGCCAGGTCAGTACTATGAAATCTGGATACGTACTCCCTCCGTATTATAAGTCATTTCAAGAATCTTGGAGAGTAAAAGTTTTCTAAATTTAACCAAATTTATATGATAAGATGATAACATTTATGATACCATCTAAGTATCATTAGATTTTTTATTAGTTATTTTTTATAGTATATCAATTTGATGTCATAAATATTTATGTTTTTTATATAATTTTTAGTCAAACTTGATATGATTTGACTCTTTAAAATTCTTGGAATCTATATCTATACTTAATACTAAATTGGCAAATTTTCTTGCCACATAATTTTTTCTGCCGCATAATTTTTTCTGCCAGCCTATTATTCACCGGCGCTTATCCGGATCCAGCTGTGTTTTTTTTTCGTTTTTGTTTCCTTTTCTTCTTTTCATCTTTCTTTTTTTCCTTTTCCCGTAAGTATGTATTTCGGACGTCGGGGTCTTAGGAAGGTGCGGCTCCCGCTTCTCGATGATGTTCGTCACTTTTTCTTTTTTTTTACTAGCAAATATGTCTGTGCGTTGCAATGGATATAAAAAACTCTCATAGTTGACGGATTCTACACGGGATTTCGAGGAGAGGGCAATTGTCCTTGGTCATGGCTTTAGCGATGTGTACTACCCTTTAGCTGAGTAGGGATTTATCTAAACTTGTCAATATTCTAGAGATCATTCCAAATTGCTCATATATCGGGTTATTTCGGTATTAAGCATATGTACTGCAAAATACAATAATTGACAGCATGACGTATAACATTTCGTGTTTTGTGTAATATAAAACATCTATAATTTAAACATTTTCATGTGATGTGTGTTAATGTAGTTGTTAGGACAAACTTAAGACAAAAATGTTTTCTTTTTTTTACCCAAACTCAAAATTCACAACTCCAAAATTTTCGCAACGAACCATGTGTCATGGAGTTGACCAATTCAACATCATGATGATAGAGGTATTTTCACATAAAATGAGTTTTGGAAAAAAAGTTTAATTTTTTGTTGAATTTGAGCTTACTCGAATTCAAGATGAACCACCGTGCCTGACATATGTTTTCAGATATAATTTCAGAAAAATTGAAGCCTTAACTCTATGGCATATGTAAGTATGTTTTTTTAATATAACTGAAAAATATTGGTACAAAGACATGAGGCACAACACTGTTACTTAGAGGGCCACCGGTATTTGTGCTTCTTAAAATGGCCACAACATCACCATCAAGCACTCGCTTAACCAGTCGTCACCTTGTACGTCTACATGACTATATGTCACCGCATCTGCACAATCAATCTTACGTTTTATAGACTCTGTTCTTTAATAGGTTGTTTTCATGATAATTATAGTTTATATAGAGTCCTTTATTGTTGTCATATAGCCTTTTACACGTATGTGTTGTTTGTGCATGTTTACCGGTCATAAAAGAGTCAAGATTTCAAATATTCATAATATTATATATTTATTATTATTAATTATTAATATTCAATATAATAGGAGATCAAATAAAATAAAGTAAAAAAGGAAACGTAACCTTGACAAAAAAGCAAAACAAGAAGACGTAGAAAGAAAAAAAAACAGGAACATTACATGTAACTTGGAGAAAATATGGACTGTATTTTTACATCAGGAATCCTCAAGCTCCTCAAATTCAATTCAGATTCTTCTAACTTTTTTTCGCTCTTACACTTTTGCACTAGGAACCCTTACTTTTCTTCTATTTCTTTATTCTCATCCTCTTTTCAAAATACACGCACTACACGAGGCCAAGGCCGATCCAGATCAGATACGGTCAGGAAAGGCGGAAGAAAATTGGTGGCGGAAACAAATTGTGGTTGGAAATTTTGCCTCTTTATTAATAGGTATAGATATAGATATAGATTTGTATTTTTTATTTCCTACTTTTCTACTACCAAGTTTTTTGTTTCGTATGAAGTAATATGATTTTGTTATTAGAAATAATTACGATAAATAACAAATACATTATTGTGGGTCTTAATTTTAACATCCTTTACTTATAATTAACAAATAGTTTTATTACTAAATTGTTGGTATTAATTAGGAATAAATTACTATTATAACATGAATTAGTCTATGACCTAACTAATCATGTATAAACTAAATCTTGAACATTGTCATCCAATCCAATAAAAATGAATGTCTCATCAAGCTACCCACGCTAACATTGTCATCTTTGTTTTCCACTATCGAGCATGTTTGTTTAATATTAAAAGTAACACCTATACAAACTAAATTGTCGGGACCGTTGCGGCTGTGCTGCAAGCTGAAGCAAATAGACAGGGGTGAAGTGGTATGGCTGCTGCCATACCTAAAATAAAATATGTAGAAAATACCAAGTATATGAGCTATTTTTTTTTATCTCTATTATATCTGTCGATCATGAAGTAATATATATAATGTTGTGGTGAGCCATTGCATAGATGCATATTAGATGTTTCATCTTTATAAATTTTGCGACACTTTAAAATCATTCCTACCTCCGCCACTGCAAAGTGCAAACATATCATCCGTTTGATAGTTTTTTCTCTCGTAGCAACACAGGGGCATGTTTGCTCTTATAATTTAAAACGCAGGACTGATACGAGTATCTCGTACGGCTGGGGCGATTTGGATACGGCCCATGAAATGAAAACGGCCCAACTTGATCTACTCCTTTCCCCCGCACGCTCGCAGTAGAAGCCGCCGCATCCCGACTCCTGCACCTACCAATTGGGCTGGCGAGTGGCGACCTGGCGGCGACGGCGAGTGCCGAACGGCGACCGGCGGCGGGGAAGTAAGCAGCCGGCGCCTAGGTCGCCGCGCCGCAACCCGGAGAGGAGACTGCGCTCGGCCGAGCACCACCTGGGGCCCAGCATCCTCGCGGCCATCTCCGGCACGGCGTCAGCCCTCTGCAGCCCTGCGACCGTCGCTGCTGTCCTACTTCGCAACTCGCCACTCGCCACTTTGGCCGGCGACGAGCACCACCAGGACACTAGGTATTTCCTCTCCTTGGTCCTCACTTCCTGCTGTGCGAAGCCGTCGTGCGCCCAAACCCTAACATGCTATTCGTGATCGGGTCTGAATCTAATTACAGGTGCATATGCGTGTATTATGCCTACTAACCTTGATTTCTTTGCAGAAATTATTGGGTGTACATGTGTACACCCATGTCCTTTACTGGGTCCGCCCCTGCTACCAACTTCTAATTATTTGTAAAAATTATTGGGTGTCTTTACTAGATCCACTCCTGAGGGCATCGATGTCTCCTTTGGCTCTTCTCCAAGCCCTCTTCGTCCTCCTGTGCTGCTGGTCGCCTCTGGCTCACGCTTCCTCGTCGGAGCTAACCCTTGCACGAGCTGCTTGTGGAGACGACCAGCTTGTCATCTTCGATGCTTCTGATGGCCTCCTTAACCTGTCGGTCAATGGGGTTCTGGTGCAGGACCGCGTTGTTGCCTGCCATAAGCTCGGCTTCTACATTGCTAGAGGCTGCCTCCGCTGCAGCAACCTTTCAGATGCGTTTAGGGGTGCCGTAAAGCAGTACTGTGGTGAAGGGAGCGGAACTAGCCATGGTAAGTTGGTTCTTGTTTGCTCCTAGTTGCTAAATCAGATAAGGATTGGGCAATTGCTGCCCACTTTAGTACATTAACAGTTCATACCTGCATCAGTTATTTGACTTATTCCATACATGACTTGTAATAAATAAGATATGGCTATGAAGTTTATCTCTGGAACAGTTGTGTAGACTGTAGAACATAGGCTATTTCGTGGTATGGTTTTCGTTCTACTATTATGCATTGTAGTTTGTAGATGATGGGAACAGGAACTCTTTTAGGGTCCTACATTTGGGGTTTAATTCCACCTAAATATATTTCCCATTTATATGCTCTAGTGCGAAACTATGTTTGGACAACGTAATGAGATATATCTAAGTTGCATGCTCTTTTGTTGGCATTGTAATTCGCAACTGAAGTATGATACGACCCATGTGTTAGTTTTCTGGTACCCTCATTTAGCATCTGCATTCCAACCTTCCAAAATATTTTGGTTCCTTTTTTTTTTTGATATGGCTGACACATTTTTAAATTTGTAACATGTGGATGAGAAAAATTGTTTTGCTGTTTACTTTTCCTCATTTGGTTTGTTATCAGCTGTAGCAACTTTACATAAAGATATGCCTTATCACCTGTAGCAACTTTACATCACGACGTGCCAAGGAAGCTCCTGAGGCGGCCCACAGAAAATAGCTCAAGAAATGATTATGACCCATGTGGGAGGTTTGGGTTGAATGAAAATAATCAGGACACTGATGATTCTTCAGAAAAGCAGGATCATCTCCTGGCTGTGCCAGGTGTAATTCTCTTATGCTGTGGTCTTATGTTACCATGCTTTCATGCCGAAAGAAAAGAAGTCAGCAGGCATGACACTGGAACCGCTCAGCGCAACACAGGTGAGTTTATCTTTTGTGCAATCTTTCAGCCAATTCTATTCTTGTTGTCTGCCACCTCATTTTTTAGTGAACCCAAAATATGGGGGTTAGTGTGAACACAGTGAACAATAGTTGTCTATGTCAGGGCCCTACTGAAGTCAGAGGACCTGATATTGAGCTGGGTATTTTCAAAAGTTTTGCCTAGCTCGCTTGTCCTTATTACATGAGAGTTTTCTTGTACTAGATTAGGATGAGATCTTTATGATATCTTTGTGACTGGTGTACATTTAGTTTATTTTTACTCGCTTACCTTTTCTTATTACATGTTAATAGAAACTAGTCCTTATGGTGCTATTGTTGTTTGAGGGTTGGTTATCTCCATGGTTAGTAAGGTGTCCCTTCAGCGTCGCTGAAGCATTGGAGTGCTCCAGGGTTGCCTCAGGGGCAAGGTATCACCCTGTTGCTTTATGTTCATGCTGACGCCCCCTTGATTCTGTCGTCTTCTGCTGGCCCACTCAACTATTCCATCTCCGCTTGATTTTGGTTCTCCTGGCTTGATTTTTTTCCATCTCTTGTTCTCCAATTGCTCGATCTGGAAGGGGACAGCAGTGGTTGTCGATCTGAGATCGCTGAGCAGTGAGGTGCAGAGGGAAGCAGAGCAGTGTATCCGGAGAAGAGAGGGAAGCGGAGCAGCGCATCCGGGAGGGGCGCAGAGAAGCATAGCAGCGCATCTGGGAGGAGGCGGAACGGCAGTGGTGGAGAATGCACGAGAGGGGGCGGCGGCGCTGGAGGGGATCAGGATCGGAAACCTTTCTAGATGAAGCCACGCCAGGAGGGGGAGGGGCACATGGGCTGTCTGATGGGCTGGGCCAGTCCTCTTCTTACTCGTCCTTTCTTTTTTATTTTTTCCTTTACTTGTTTCTTCATCATCTATGCTGTTTTAAGTTTTCCTTAAATTCTTAAGGTGTTGCCTCACCTCACACTTTAGTCGCTTAAGCGTAAGACAGTAGTCAGTCACCACGGACCACGCCTCGCCTTACGGCCTTGATAACCATGGTTATCTCTTTTGATAAGGTTAGGCCTTATCTTGCTTTAAGGTCCATTGGTAGGGCTCATAGGCACATAGTTTCTTGGTCAACAGGGTCGAGGAACAGGGTCAAGGTACATGGTAGCTACACTACAGGGTTTAAACCGCGAACCCAAATCAAGGGTTGATGCCTTCACCCCATTTTATGTGACTGTGGTAGAGCTTCTAAAAGCGCTCCGGCTTCTCAAGAGTGGTTATTAGACACATAGTTATTTGTGAAGCTTATCATGAGTGGTTATTAGGCCAAGTCATAATTTTCATATGACACCATCAATTTTCTAAGATAAGTGATACTTATAAAGTTACAGTTTACCAACCAAAACTATTTTAACAGTTCAATAGTAATACTCATTTAGTCATTTTCATGATAGCCCATCTGTATATTGTATTCCAACTCAGTAGTTACTTGGATGAGACGGACATGTGGTTTGGTTCTTTTCTCGAATGACGCAGGATAGCTGCGCGTCATTTCATTAAGAAGATTATTAAAAACAACGGAGGAGAGGCAGAGCTTGCTCCCCCAAGAACCAATTACAGGACTCTTAGCACCACACACTAAGAAAAACAGACGACCACTGCCCCAAAAACGCCTAAACAGCTGTGGTTAGGTTCTTGGAATCGGTATAGAATAATCCATAACAGAGAAGACCAGCTCTGTCCTGGTTTTGTGGTTTACTGTTGATTACTAGTCTGGTGCTATTTTCACATTTCCACAATGTAAACCATGTATGCTTTGATGATATTCTCTCAGTTTTTTTATATATTTGTTGTAACAATGTTGGAACATTGTCCTTAACAAGTTGTATATTTTCAGTTGAATCAGTTTCATCCTATGAAGTAAGCATGTCATCTGAGAAAGTCCCACCAACTCCACATCGAATACCTCCAAGTCCATCTAGATTTGCACCGTCTCCACAGATAGCTAGAGTTGGATCTGTCAACTTAAGCATCCAGCAGATCCTCAGGGCGACTCAGAACTTCTCACCTTCATTTAAGTTAGGTGAAGGAGGATTTGGGATGGTCTACAGGGCTGTATTGCCAGATGGCAATGTTGTTGCAGTCAAGAGAGCTAAAAAGGTAGTCTGGTTCTACCTCATGTCTTATTACCTGTTACTTATTAAACTCCATTGATTATTCTCATTCATGGGCTTTTTCAGTATGTTGAGTCAAATTTATTCCTTGCCAAATTATTTTGTCTCTTCATATTTATTTCACTATATTTTAATAAATTTATAAAATATTTTACAACTTATATTTGTACCTCAGCAAAATAGCTCATGTAGTTCTGCTAATTTGTCTGCCTCTGGCAACAATGAATAAAGTTTTGTTTTTTTCGGGTGTTGGTGCTGCTGTTTTTTTCCCCACTATGCTATGCATAACATATGCTCTGCTGTTCATTACAGGATCAGTTTGCAGGTCCTAGGGATGAGTTCAGCAATGAAGTAGACTTGCTTGCTAAGATAGACCACCGAAATTTGGTGAGGTTACTGGGTTTTACCGATAAAGGAAATGAGCGCATTATCATCACTGAGTATGTTCCAAATGGTACTCTTAGAGAACATCTCGATGGTAAATTGTGCTTCCCATATTGTTTTCTTCACTTTTTGGTCAATTTGAATACCTTCATTCAAATATTACATGCCTTCCTCCATTCTGCAGGTCAACATGGTCGAGTCCTGGATTTTAATCAGCGCCTAGAAATTGCAATTGACGTGGCTCATGCACTTACTTATCTTCATCTGTATGCAGGTATACTTCTACTACCTAGATGCTTATAATTGCTTATAAATATTAAAGTGATGTGGTCTATATTTTGTCAGATTGTTACCTCTGAAATGGGCTAGCAGGTAGACAGAGTAGTGTGTCTGATACAAATGTCATTATAATTATCCAGTTATTTGATTTGGAGTAAAATGGCCAGTTCTTAAGAGATGTAAAACATTTAACTTAGGAGAAATAGGCCCCCTTTAGAACATAGGATTTGTGAAGCAATTTTTTAGGATAGGACCTATAGGAGCTTTTCCTATGCAGCCCATTTGGAACTAAGGATTGGCCATCCTGAAATCCTACAAAACTCCTATTGCTTAGCTCAATCCATATGAACGTTTTAGGAGATGTAGCATGCGGTTAGTGTCTCAGAAACTTTCCTGTGACTTTCTCTTCTAGTTCCTGTGTTTTTCCTATGTTGCATCCAAATGAGATTAGAATTGCATGTGACATGCACTCCGTGTCTTTTTCCTACGGCTATGTTTTGGGAGTCCTGTATTCAATCATTTGGTTTCATTATGCTAACTAAGGCTCCAATTTTCAAAACCAAAGTATTCCACAAAACCATGGTATTTTTTTTTGCTCCAATTTTCAAAACCAAAATATTCCACAAAACCATGGTATTTTTTTTTCTAAAACAACAACAATACTTTTCTTCCAAACAGGGCCTAAAATATAGCAGAGTTGGGTAATTTTTTGCATTGATGATACCCAATGCCAACCTTTTTTTTTCAAGTATATTTGATTTGGTGATGTTCTGGAAAGGGGCTGAGAACTTCTGTACTGTTCACAGAGAAGACTATAATTCATCGAGATGTGAAGTCATCAAACATCCTCCTGACAGATAGCTATCGGGCCAAGGTCTCCGACTTTGGGTTTGCAAGAAGTGGCCCTAGTGACACGGAGAAGACACACATATCAACGAAAGTGAAAGGCACAGCAGGGTACCTGGATCCTGAATACTTGAGAACGTACCAGCTAACTCCAAAGAGTGATGTCTTCTCATTTGGCATATTGCTTGTAGAAATTCTTTCTGCTCGCAGACCCGTAGAACTGAAGCGAACCCCTGACGAGAGGATCACAATCAGATGGGTATGTCTGGGCAATTTCCTTCATTTCACGTATCTCCAGTCTATGCTTATACAATGTGTGAAATTGACCTAAATAGAATGCTAGGATCAAATTGCTGATTTACAATAATTATTATAATTGTAAAAGACCATGGTTTTTCATGCAACTAAGCTACAGAATTAAGCCAACATTACTGTGGTCATAGTAGGATAAGTCCACTTTTATGAGTTTGGGTTGCAAACGAACGGTTTCGTAGTTCAAAGTTGAAAAATCAAACTGGCAGCAGAGTTTCCCAGGTTAAAATATGGATCCTTTTTTTTATATTATTACCTTTTATAATGAGATCTTTTGTCTGTTTTGAGCCAACACGATTGTTGTGTAATGGTAAGCTCCCTAGTTGAGGGAGACACCAACCAGGGTTCAAATCATGGTGGCAGCAAAAGAATCCGACCTGTGGCACCTGTGCTTTGGTTTGGGCCCTCCTACCAGGGGGTAGTTGCAGTGATCGCCGACCCAGTGGGTCGTGGTCAGCCCAGGTTACGGTGTGACCCTATAGGGTGAAGCCAAGGTTCAGGGGTTATATGGGCAGGTCTGCCTGGATTTCTTTCTTAGTGCAATGCCGTGGGGGCGGTCTTCCCCCCACCGGTCCATTTTTTATTTGTCTGTTTTGATATTTTCTGAAATAGCTGAGTGAATGTGGCTTTGTGTTTGTGCTTTTATGCAGACTTTTAAGAAATTCAATGAAGGCAACATGAGAGAGATATTGGACCCGTTGCTGGAAGATCATGTGGACGATGAGGTGCTTGAAAAGCTCCTTAGCCTGGCTTTCCAGTGCGCTGCTCCGACAAGGGACGACCGCCCGACCATGAAGGAAGTTGGGGAGCAGCTGTGGGAAATAAGGAAAGAGTACGGAAAGAGCATCAGGAAGGTGTGAACATCATGGACAACATTACCTGTTTTTCAAGCCTTTCCCTCATCCAAGGACTAAGCATGCTAACTATTCGTGCCCATTGGATAAAGATGTGATATGTTTGGAAGATGTGGTCTGAACAATGTACTGTGCGATGTCACCGCCTTCAGTTTGTGCTTTCATGTCTATCAGTTTGCAGTGCACTCCTCTATGGAGAATGTATATTTTGGAGTTCTCACATTTCTTGATTCTGTTGATATGGTATTATGATGTATGTAACTGCACACGTTACTGCAAATGGTCAACGATTTAATTTTAAGATAAATACATGAAGGGATTGTTTTATTTGGAATACTTTAAAGCTTCCGGATGCTCTATTAGTTGAGTTCGGTTTGACCTGCTGGGGGCTGCGGCCTGCGAAGACTGTAGCTCCACAGCTGTTTGCTGGTGCAGCTGCGATAAGCAGTTCGTAATTGCTGGTTTAGGTGTCATGCAACTGGCACGGACATCGCAACTCATCATCACTCTGCATGTGGCGGTATCGTTCATCGTCATTTTGCTTTTAAAAATGGATGTCCCAGATCTGAAATTTTTGTGATCATATTGGATTAAAGGCCTATTAGATCTGTGCTGGAATAGGACATACGAGAGTAAACTTAGGTACAATACATGGGCGTGTTTGATAAAAGCGTGTTGCGAGCAGCTTTGTTTGAATGCAAGCCAAACACTCCCCTTATTCCATTCGCCCACACTGAGAGGGGCAAGAGAGGAAAAGCTTAAAAAAATGGTACTCACTCCTCCATCCTAAATTATAAGACGTTTAACTTTTTTTGACACCAAATTTGACTACTCAACTTATTTAAAAATTTGTGCAAAATATCATTTCTTTTGTCGTGGTTTCCTTTATTAATAAAAGTTCTTCAAAAATGATTTAAATTTGATTATGTTTGCACAAATTTTTTAAATAAGACGAGTAGTCAAACTTAGGTTAAAAAAGGATTGAGTAGCTTCGATTGGCTCCCTCTCGATAGTATGGGTCTAACACGTGGGCAATGGTTGATTTGACATAGCGAAGGCAAGCCCTGCGTGCCGCAAGCCCATAGACGACAACGCAGGCCGGCAAGAGGAAGCTCTGAGCACCACACTTAGGGGTTGCGCCTACTCGTGGATTAGCGACCATGCCCATCAAAAGCAGTAGCGGATCAGCGGATCAACGTGTTCTTCTTGGCCTTAGATATGGGGCTCCTATGGTATGTGCTAAAGGTTTTTATGTCATTTGCCAAGGATGCAACAGAGTGCATGGTCGGGTTAAGGATAGATAGACATACTATTAAGAGAGAAACTCGATAATTATCTAGTATCACTAGGTTTGGCCTAACTTTGCATATGCATTAGACGGGTTGAGGACAGATGACATACTATTAAGAGAGGAACTCGACAATTATCTAGTAACACTAGGTTTGGCCTAACTTTGCATGTGCGTTAGACCTAGTGACGTGGTGAGGAAGCAAGTGAAAATGCTTTGATTTTTTTCTTGGAAAACTAACTTAGTGCCTAAGGTGAAGGTGTTTATATTGGAACACATTGGGAGTTTGAAAATTTGAAAAGCACTCAAGAGAAAATGGACTTAGTACAGTCTCACTGCAATGACCGAATTTATCTGTCACCATAGAGAAGGCTCGTGTCTAACAACTGTGATAGATAAAACCCTAATGCAATGCAAGTGACAAATTTCATGTAACAAATCAAATCCATTGCAAAGTGTCAATTATTCGCTACCATTAGTAAAAGTGTTGCAATAATGTACATATTTCAATACAAATCAAATTAGTCACAACGCAAACATTACAGTGGCAATATTGTCAAGTACCACTTGCAATTGTTTCATAAACTGTGACGATAACACCTACCAATTGCAACAAAGTGCATGATAATTGTGCCACACTAAAATATTCATAGCAACATTGTTCACTGTCGCAACCAAAAATAAAAATCGTGGAAATAACATCTACTTGTTGCAATCAATTTTGTGTTGTTGCAATGCAAATCGTGGAATAGGGCAAAACCTTGTGGTGATCTATTTAGACTGTTTGCCCTAATGAATATCTAGTGTTCTTTTGTAGAAAACTTAGGTGCAAAGGTGGTTAGAATCTTGCATAGGCTAAGGATGTCGTTTTGTATTTTTTAGAGCTCAATTCACCCACCCCTCTTTTGGGCCACTCAGTCCTTATAATCATTCGGTGGTCTCTGTTTTCCAAGGTGCTTTTTCTCTGACTCTTCCATCGTATATGATTTGGTGTGATCTAGCGCATGTCATTTCTTCACGAATATTGTTCATTCTTCCTCCACATTCAAATTGAGAGAGTCGAAGCAGTAGTATGGAGATGCATGAAGTGGCTGTCTGAGTTGATAGTAAAAAATGCCCTCAATGAAGTTAGTTTCAAGTCAAGGATCGATCTCAATTACAGATGTTGAATTTTAATTTGGTTAATATTGTAGTTGAAAGCATACTGAAAACACACGCACTAAAGTCTGCACCAAATGGTAGGGCTGATCGTTGGTGGATTGTTTGATGAGGCTATTCATAGACTTTAACAAATACTCCTTCCATCCTAAATTATAAGTCATTCAAAGAATATTGGAGAGTTAAAGCATCTTAAGTTTGACCACATTTATATGATAAGAAAATAATAATTATGATGCCAACTAAATACCATTAGATTCATCTTTACTTATATTTCCATTGTATACCTATTTGATGTGTCACAAATCTTTATAGTTTTGTCTATAATTTTGGTCAAACTTGAAACGCTAGCTAAGATTCTTGGAATGACTTATGATTTGGAACGGCGGATGGAGTAAAACAAAAGGGCACGAGGAACGGTCATGTGAATGAGGATTGATAATTTAAAGTCCCGGCCTGATTCGACATCGAAACATTATGGACCGTTATGCTTATTTACTAACTTTGTTGAAAAGCTAAAATAGAACCAAGGTCTATCTTTTTTATCAGAGGTTAAATCAATCCATAAGAGGGGGTCTCTCTTTTGGCGCATTTAGTTCAAAGAGTGGAATTTGATCTCTAAACAATTGGAACATTGTAAACATGCAACTATATATTTGTTACGTGCTACAAAAAAATAATTCACTTTTAATCAAGTTTAATTTATAGTAAATAATATTCACATTTATGACTCTAAATCAATTTATTATGAAAATATATTTCATAATTAATCTAATGGTATTTATTTGATATCATAAATATTGATACATTTTAAATTATAGTTGGTCAAACTTAATAAGATACTAAATCGTGACATTGTTTTTCTTGATGGATGAAGTATTTGGAACATTGCTATGAAATGAGGATCATAATAATCTTGGGATATTTTATTTATGTAAATTTTTACTGTACTATAATTTTAGATTGCACGGAGAACATTAATTAACGTGTATATAGATCTGATAAAAAAACATGAATGCATTCTATAGCGTCTGAGCTACAAACCCCACTGATGACTGAAGCTGTAGTGACGCATTAGGAAGAAACCAGCGGCGTCTCCCACCCGACACTGCAGGTGCAAAGCTATGCTGTGTTTGGGAACCATACGTATCCTATCCTCTCGTGAGATATCCCTCGTCGTTGTTAATTAAATTAGTCAATGGCATGTCACACCATCCGCCAAAATTCAGCCTCCTACTGTACTATACTACGTTAGTTAATTACCTACACTAGTGCCTACCTATTATTCGTCTCACAGCGATATCTCTCACTGCATCATCAACGACACGCATGAATGAACAAATTAAAGACACCAGCGGGATCAAGATGATTTTTTTTTTGTAATGGTAAAAGATGAAACATTAATTCGAGGACAACCAAACATTCAAGCTGGACAATATATAATAGCTTAGTACTTGACGCTATGTTTCTGTCGCTAGCTATACAGTAGGCGGTAACAATAAGCTAGCTAGGACCGGAGAGGTACGCACACTGCTTTTGCTGCGACGCACGCTAGGCGACATGCAGCATATGTACCTCTCATCGACGCCGACGATGCTTTTGATTGTCCATCGTCGTCGTTTCTATGCCCGCGCGCACCGATTTCTCCGAAGACCAATTAAATATGTAAATGCAAGAAACAACAACTCGTGCATATATTGCATTGGCTGACGCAACCAGTGACCGCACACAGCGAGAACAGGTATACAGATAACACAACACCTAGCTCAGATATGATGTTGTTGTCGCCTTGCTTATCTCAATTAATTCCCTCTCAGCACAAGAGCGCACGCACATGTCAGTCGATTATTCAGCGTGTAACGCCCGGCCTCATCATCTTCGTCTTGTATTGTATATCACCGATATATATATATATATATATATATATATATATATATATATATATATATATATATATATATATATATATATATATATATATATATATATATATCCACTATCGTCAACCCATAACACCAATCGTACAAGCAACCTTGGTAGAAGCTTTGTTCGTTGTTACTTAATTTGTTCTCGTCGACGACACGTACAGTGACGACTTGCATATATATGCATGCCATGCCTATGACACGCCCTAGCTCGTCGTCTGATATATAGTGTAGTACGTAGTCGACCGAAAAGAGGTAAATGATTTGTTTATTTTTATTATATGGCTCGATCTAGAAACAAAGAATTTTTTGTCGTAATCTATTTGTACTACTCGATCCCGTCAGGAGCAGAAGTCAATTTGGAGATTGTAGCGCGCTCTAGCTGCATGCATGGTCCGGGAAATTGGTGTGGAAAATGAGATGAACCAGTGCCCATATATCCTCCTAGCTTGTCCAAGTCCATCTCTGTGAAAGAGACATCTAGCTAGATAGTGCGCGCGGGCGTCTTTTTACAGTTGAATTATTATTTCTCTCATCAAAATATTGTAATATATATATATATATATATATATATATATATATATATATATATATATATATATATATATATATATATATATATATATATATATATA